AAAAAAAAAAAAAAAAAGATGATCCTGAAACAACTTGTTCTGCCATGAGCAGGAGGTGCTCAGAAAATGATAAGCACATGTCAAAAGGAAACAGAAGCCAATTGAAAAAGGCACTCACTGACAAAATCCTGGAGCATCAAAATAATGATAGTGATGATTATAACCCATTCAACAAAATAGGAATCCATTAAACCCACTGCCACAGGGTTGATTCCAACTTGTATCAACCCCTATTGGGTTTCCAAGGTGGTAAATCTTAGGCAAGTAGATTATCTCATCTTCCTCCCACAGAGTGGGTGAGTTTGAACAACCAACCTAGTTAGCAGTCAAATGCCTTAAGCACTGTACCACCAGAAATAAGCAGATACATGATAGAGAGAGAGAAGGAGAGTGAGAGAGTGAAATAGACACATTGAAAGGAAAAATATTTACATGGCTCAAAGAACCTACCCCTGAAAATACTCACTAATTATTAAGGAAAAAAGTAAATTTATGTTGAAGAAACTTGACAAACACCATTTTCATTAACTGATCAAAGTTACCATTGCCAGCAAAGGTACAAATTAAATTGTATGCTCTGACAGAATTCAATAAGAATATCAGGAGAATAAGGGAAATGGGTGACATACCTGCCAAAGGTGAATAACCTTAAGGTAATCATAAGGAAACATCAGACAGAACCAAATTGAGGAACATTCTATAAATGACTGGCTTGCAATTTGCAAAATTCTAAAGGTCACAAAAGTCAAGGAAAGATATAGCCCTGAGCCACCCTTTGGGGCCCTGGAAGTGAACTCCCCCTCCCCCCACTCTTCCCACCCTAACCCAGCAACTTTCAGTCAAATAATAGATGGACTTATGAGGGTAACAGGAGCTCTGGTGGCATAGTGCCTAAGGCATTTGACTGCTAACCAGAAGGCCAGCAGTTCAAACCCATCAGGCACTCCTCGGATAGAAGGTTGAGCAATCTACTTCTGTAATGATACCACCTCAGAAATCCAAGGAGGGGTTGCTATGAGTTGGAGCTGACTTGATGGCAGTAAGTTTGGTTTGCTTTTTTGATAAGAGGTCAACAGTAACACCAGACAAGTAAGCACTCCTTAGAACAATCAAACAAGAGATCAAATGAGCAACATTTGCATGTGGACAAAGCTCAGCAGGCAGCAGTAGGTAGAAAAGAAGGACAAAGGGAAATGGTAACCACAGGGAGGAGTTGGGAAAAAAAAAAAAAAAAAAAAAACTCACTGCCATGGAGTCAGTCCTGACTCATAGCGACCCCTCCTTGGGTTTCCAAGGTGGTATCACTACGGAAGTAGATTGCCCAACTGTCATTCCAAGGAGTGGTTGGTGGGTTTGAACTGCCAGCCTTCTGATTAACAGTCAAATGCCTGAGACACTGTGCCATCAGAGCTCCTATTACATTGTGGAGATTAAAATCAATGTCACAAAACAAAATGTGTATTAACTGTTGAATGGAAAACCAATCCACTCTGTAAATTTTTACCCAAATCACAATAAAAAGTTAAAAAAAAAAAAAGGAGGGGGTCAAAGAAATATTGAGAAAACATTACCAACTGAAAACAAGTAACAACTAATTGTAATATGTAGTTCTGGACTAGACGTTTTTGCTATGAATGGCAGTATTAGTAACATATTAATGTTAATTTTGTATTTTTATGATTATATTGTGGTTATATAGAAGAATGTTGTTATTTGTAGGAAACACCCACTGAAGTATTTGTGGGTTGCTGGGTATCATGTGGGCAACTTATTTTCAAATGATTCAAGTTCTTTGTTCAAGACTTGCAACTTTTCTATCAGTTTGGGATTGGTTCAAAAATTTAAAAAGTATGTAGTCTGAAGAAAGAGAAAGAAGGGAGAGAAAAAAGGAGGGAGGGAGGCAGGAAGGAAACGATTTCTACCTCCAAAAATGTGTCTATTTGCATAGAAGTTAAGGTAAACTGAAAAACATCTTTCTCCAAAAGATATTCTTGTCCTAATCCCTGGAACCTGCAAATGTTACCTTGATAAAAGGGTCTTCGCAGATGCAATTAAGTTAAAGATCTTGAGGAGATTATCCTGTTTTATCTGGGTGGACACTAAAACCAATAACACATGTCCATATAAGAGAGAGGGAAACCGCAGAGGCAGAGATGAGAGCAATGTAGTCATAAGTCAAGGAATGTCGGCAATTACCAGAACTTGTAAGAGGCAAGTAAGGGATTCTCCCCTAGAGCCTCCAGAGGGAGTACAGCCCTGTTGGCACCTTAATTTCTGTTTACTGATACTGATTTTAGACTTTTATCCTCAGAATTGTGAGAGAATAAATTTCTTTGGTTTTAAACCACCAGGTTTGTGATATTTGTTAGTGCAGTCACAGGAAACTAATATGGAACAAGTTTCTAACACATTAAGTCACCACAATGGTTATGGTGGGTGGTTTATCAAAACACAGTTGTTGCACATAAATAATGTGACCAAATTGTACCCATAAAAATGCTGAAATGGCAAATCTACATCCATGGTGATACTGCCTTGGAAATCCAAGGAGGGGTCACTATGAGTCGATCTGAATCAATGGCAGTGAGTTTGTTTTTTGGTTCTGTCTAACCACAATTAAAAAATAAAAAGATGTTGCCTTGTCTGGCCTACTCTTCCTCACTAATGAATTGGATAATGGTTCAAGAAATCAAGAGCAGGGATTTTGAACATTTCTCAAACCACCATGCTTGAAGAGCCAAAGAAAACAGATTTAATGCACTGTTAAAGTGATATCATCTTCTAAAGGTTAACAATAGAATATTTAGTATTCCTGAAGAGGTAAATGTATTTGTTAATAATTAGAGTTTGAATTCTCTCTTCACCCACAGTTAGGAAGGGTTTTATACAGCCTCACTAGATGGATTGCTCAACAGTAGGATGCCACAGGAACACCTTGATCTAAAAATTGAGCTGATGCAGGGACCACTGCTGTTGAGCTAGTACATGGGAAGAATAAAAGCTCATCTCTTTGGATTCAAGGTCATTCATTTTGGTGTCATGCCATTCAGTGATGTGTTTATTTTTACCTTGTGTTTTTTATTTATAGGAGGAAAATCAGCTTTGAGCATCATCAAAGGTTAGGGCTTGTTTTGGCATAAATCTGTGGCCACCGTACTTCTTAATCACTTCATTAGGATAAAGGCACATGGGAGGTTTCTTGCTAGGCATTCAATGGAGAGAGAAAAAAAAAACCAGGCCCATCTTCATTTTCAGACCTAAATCAAGAAAAGCTACTCTCAGGAACAGATCAGGGAGCTAGAGACAAGACCCAAGGGCACTAGGATATTTTCATCTAAAAACTTTCAACTAACTTTATCGTGAGTAGTCTAATCCATTCACTAGAAATCAAACAAAGTATTGCATTTGGCTAATCTGCTGCAGAAGACCTTGTTAAAGTATTAAAGAGCAAAGATGTCGCTTTGAACACTAAGGTACACCTGACCCAAGCCATTGTCTTTTCAGTAGCTTCATATATATGTGAAAGCTGGACAATGAATAAAGGAGACCAAAGAAGAGTTGATGCATTTGATTTGTGGTGTTGGTAAAGAATATTGAATATACCATGGACTACCAGAAGAACAAAGAAATTTGTCTTAGAAGAAATACAGCTGGAATGCTCCTTAGAAATGAGACTGGCCAGACTTGGTCTCTTGTATTTTGGTCATGTTACCAGGAGGGACCAGTCCCCAGAAAAGAATATCATGCTTGGTAAAATAAAGGGTCAGCAAAGAAGGAGAAAACCCTCAACTAGATGGGTTAACACAGTGGCTGCAACAATGTGCTCAAGCATAGCAACTGTGAGGATGGCACAGGACCAGGCAGTATTTCATTTTGTTGTACATAGGGTCACTATGAGTTGAAACTGGGTCAATTGCACCTAATAACATTCCATTCACTGGGTGGTACAAATCATTAACACACTTGACTGCTCACTGAAAGGTTGGCTGTTGAGCCCACTCACAAGCATTTCAGAAAAAAAAAGGCCTGGCAAACTACAAAGCTGAAAAAGCAGCAGGATCCAGGTAGGATCCAGGTGAAGGGAGGGCAGAGAGGTTTCGAACAGCTAAGGGAGAGGAACTTGTCTGTTATTTTGTCATACTGTGGTGGCTTGCATGTTGTTGCTGTGAGGCTTGAGGCTGTGCCACCTGTGTTTCAAACGCCAGCAGGGTTGCACATGGTGCACAGGTTTTAATGCAGCTTACAGACTTAGACTAGGAAGAAGGAAGAGGCCAGTCACTCAAAGTATTGGCCAGGGAAAACCTTATGAACAGCAGAGGAACACTGTCTCATATATTACTGGCAAACTACAGTACTTCTAAAAATCAGCTATTGAAAATCCAATGGAGCA